GGATCCAACGAGCTGAAAAAGCGTGGTGATAAGCCTCCAGCTCGTCTCGGATCTACCCTGGATCCGCCAAAAACCTCAGGCCTTCGCCTTGGCCGATCACCTCCGCTGTGCTCATCTTCTGACCATGCAAATCCGCTCCGCTGTGCTCCGCAGATCTAGATCTTCCAAGTGGCAACATAATGTTGTTGTCGGTGGCGGCCACTTTCATGGTCTCCTCCCAGCATCTGAGGATGTCTGGTTTGCGGATGTTGACCTGGAGCTCTAACTATGTGACCTGGCAAATGCACTTATATAAGTCCTCGCAAATTCAGGGTCCATGCACGTGTGCAGTTCTAATTTCGATCCAAAGATCATGCCATACTAACTCGTGAGCAGGGACCTCCCCCCCACTTCCAGCTCTGGAAGCTACTTGACCAAGGCGCAGGGACTGTGAAAAAGGGCTTTTGTGTTCGGCCCATGTTGAATAGCAACTATATACATTAAGAAAACGCTCAAAACACCATCAAACCATAGGAGAATCCACCAACCCACTAACACATCCGGTCGAGTCCTGGATGAAAACGCCTGTGATCACCAAGACCACCGCAAGGCCTGTCGATCAAGGCCGCAAAAAAGGGGAAGGTTTCAGGTTGATGAGGTGGGAAGTGTCGGATTCTTCTACAAGATCTGCAGAAACACAAACAGCTCATGCTCCATGTTTTTGTGATTGCGTTAAGCAAACAAAAAACAAGTTCCTCTGAATTTAGACTCTACCCCCGGCCCTTATGGCTACGCATACAGGTGGATCTTTTTTGGCCTTGAGTGGTGAGCCGACCCTGTAGAGCCGACCGAGTAGCGGTCTAGACCGAGCAGCTGTATGACACCGAATGAATGGGTTCCAAGCTAGTAGCAATGGCCTCCATCCTACTAGCGATGGCCTCCAACCTAAGAAAAAGTTCGCAAAGGACAGCCTTCTTTTACACTATCTGTGCACAACATCGTGTAGCTACAGGTGATTGTTGGCAGGTTCACACGGATGTGTCACAGTGTGGGTATATAATTCTGACTTTTTAGCATGAAATCTGGTGATATGCCACAAATGACTCATATATACCCATGCTCAAATGAAACAAACATGCGTAATCTCCAATGTCCTTTAAGTGACCTGCTGTTCTTGTTGTTGTTGCTGTTGCTGTTATTCTTCGTGTTTTTCCAAAAGCCAGCCGCTAAAGAACGTCATAAGAAGAGTGCTTCCACGATTTCAACCTGGTGCTATGGGTCCCGCGTATTCACTTGCCATGGGTGCTGTCGATACGGTTTTCACCCCACGAAGCCCTCAAATTGGGTGTGAGCAACAACAAAACAATCCAAAGAGTGCTCTTCGCTTACGCAGCTGAGGTGCTTCTGATATCCAAGGACACCCAAGGACTCCAAGGACCCAAGAGTCGGACTCGGAAGCTGCTAGTTCCCAGACACGGTGTTGTCACCACAAGACCTAGACTCGTCGCGTTTGCCGGGCGCGTCAGTCGAAGCACGTCAGTCGTTTGCCGGGCCTATGAAGAACTTGTGCACCATGGCAAAAAGGAAGTAGACCTGCAGGTTTGGGTCGCCAAGGGCCATCATTCCAAGTCTCTGAAGACGCCAGTCTGGCCAAGTCTCACACAGCGTCGTTGTGAACTTGTATGCTTGTAGACGAAAAACTGCCTGGTGTCTTGTAGAGAATGAGGATGGCTCTCCCCACAAGAGATACTTTACAGGATCCATTCCCATTTTTTCCCTTACTTTTCTTGACTGAGCACGAGGACTCGAGTCAGTTAGGGGGCACAGCCGGCCAGTTGCTGAATCACCTAGTAGCGGTGGCCTCCAACCTAATAAACCCTGAATCTATCATCAAAGCAGAAGTAGCCGCCGGTAGCCGCCCATGGTCCCTTGCGGAAGATCGCCTGACTGACATTGTCGATCATGCTTCTGGTCACCTAGCGGCCAAGACATTGACTTACTTTATGGGGATGGGTCAAAATCTGAAGCCCCAGTCCACCATGTAGCGAACGACCTTCCAGATAGGTCAACCCAGGCATGCTGGTGCCATGACCCACAGCCACCCCAGCCATATTGACTGACTAGACAACAAAACACTACAATAAACACCAGCTGTTTTCGCGCGATGCCCCTGCACGAGCAGCTTCAAAACACGGATCCAGCACAGGCCCACTAAGCTACTACGACTGTTCAGTCCAAGTTCGTCCTTCACAGCTCGAGCTTTCTGGAAGTCGACCTTTTGGGCTACTTTGCTTGTTGGATAGGTAGCAAACTGTGCAAAAACCGTTAAAGCAAACCTGGGCGAGGTCTGCCACTGTGGTGCTTACCTGGAGTTTTTACCCAACTGCGCGTCGGGTATAGTCTGCCCCGACTGCACACCATCGAGAAAATCACATAATCCACCGAGTCTGCCGCCAAAACAACCTCCACCAATGCTGCAAGTGTCCCATGATCGTTTGACTGCAGCAGCAGATTTCATCGCAAGAGCCCTATCATCGTTCATCCCTACTCAATCACATACATGACTCATATAATCCATATAATATATATATATATCCATTGTACATGTCTTTCATTCTTGCCTGGCCCAAAGGCCAGTTTGACCCACCAAACCAAAGACCGGGTTCCCACCGGGATGAAGTTCGCCAGCGTGATCTCGAACATCCTCGGTCCCATACGGCGTTCCCACACGGCGAGCTCGCGAGCGGCTGAGGGAATAGCACCAGGGATGGATGGAGACCTGGCCACCCACGGCTAGTCTCCTGACCATAAGCTATGGGACTGTAGAAGAGGATAGCTCATCAGCAGTTTCGAAAAAAAAAAAAAAAAACACACATGTTTGGAGATGTTTGGGACAAACGTCAGAAACGCCGGGTTTGGTACCTACAGGTTTGGTGGGACTGTCTTCGGAAAAAAAAGAAGCTCAAGCAGCCCGGCATCCTGATTTGGCCTTCAAAGCTGTGTATACTGGTTTGGACACGGACAAAAGTCGGTCCCTACACAGCGGCCAAGCAGGCCTGGACGAAAGTCTGTCCCTCAAAGCGAGCACGGCCAAGCAGCGTGAGGAAGGACCGAGAGAAGGTCCCGTAATACTCATAGACCTGGCGACTCAAGCATTGTGGGCATGATTCAAACGAAACAATAATCCGCATCATGATTTGGATATACTCTCCATTCTCTGGTCATCCTCAAGTGTTCTCTCTCTCTCTCTCTCTGATGGACTTGGCCAAGGTTACCCAGCTGCGTGGGGTTGTGATGCTTTGGTGCCACTAGTGACGTAGGCAAACGCGCATTGCACGAATGGGAATCAAACGGCGTTTACAGCACTTGGACGGAACTTCAAGGTCAACTGTCCTCTTCTGCCTTCAAGGATTGTCGAGCCTAGTTGATCCTCCATCCAAACATGGTTATTTGGTGAGTTCCTGATACTTGGTTTTACTGCGGCTTCCTATGTCCATTGGCCCCCTAAACCCACAACTATCTGATGTATTTTGCCCATGATTCTTCAGCTGTACCGTTCATCCTCTAGAATTCACTGTGCTCCATACCTGTTTCCAACCCTGGAAATGAACCCCATCCTCTTGGCACTCACCCTCTGTTGGCGCAACACCGTCCTAGGTATAAGGTCAACCCCCGACTTTGAGGTGAACCCACAAATTGAAAGGGAATTGTCCATCTGCCAATGTTGGCCTACCCATGGGAGTCCTCCTGGACATAAATAATCACATTATAACATATATATGTATATATGCTATGTATATATACAAACATTAATAACAATATATTAACACTGTAATATATGTATATATATTTTAATATATGTATCATTGCCATTCATTCATTGCACATGTAATTAAACATGTGGCGTTGGAATTACTGTGCGGAAATTACTCCAGAATCCGCAGAATCAACACCTTAAATTCTCAAATGAATTATCGGTCCAAGAAACTACTAGATTGGAGGCCATCGCTAGTAGGTTGGAGGCCATTACTATAAGCAAGCTACTCAACGTGGCCCACTCCACTCTCTCACATTGATCCACTTGGCCCGGTACGGCGCCCGGTACGGCCCTCGCCGGGGCCCGTCTGACGGGCCCGGTAGAGCGAGGCCTCCATCTTGTCGCCGGTGGAGTTCTCGTTCAAGAGGTAGCCCTGAGAGGGATGAGACACCGAAGCAACGGCGGAAGGTTCCGGAGTGGTCCGAAGGGTCCGAATCTGGAGGAGTTTTTCGTTTCACGGATGCCGTGTTGTTTTCTCCAAAGCCAGTTCCCCCCTGGCCTGGTGTGAATTTGTGTGTTCTGAGGTCGGGATTTGGAGTATACAGTATATCTTGAGTGTATCATATTCCCTGGAACAGTGGATGCTGATGGTTAGTAAAGGCCTTTCTCTAAAATAGTGATACTATGTGATAATTGTTTACCGACTGTACAGGTACTAGGACACCCCCAAAGTGTATCATAGTACAGCAAACGAGTGAACAAGTTCTTCCGGTGCTTTTATTGGCCATTCCTAGTGTGGATGGCCTGTGGCTATCCAGGTCCCCTCCTGCTGTGAATCCACAGGGCACACATGATCCTCTATCCTTATATAACTCCTCAAGGCAACTTGGAAAGATGAAGACTTCAAGCTCAAAGCACCGAAAAGGTTGCTTTTTCACTAACAGAATCACCCAGCAACCAAGTATGAGGTCTCATAACTCAAACCATGTTCGCCCATTGGCAATACAAACACTTCTGAACATCTGTCGAAATGTGGTGTAACTATATTAACTATAAAAGTTCCTGTATCCAAGGTCAGTCTGTGGAAATAGCAGCACCTACGTGAAACCCCTGCATTTGCTTGCCAAGCAATGTGGAAACAAGAACTCGTCAAGTCTTGCGAATGATTTGCTCGAGACATCCTATCCGACACTTTGGTCTAAACTTTCGGCCGCATGCCACGTTCAATCCGAGCTCTCAGAAAATGCGTGTGAAACAAACCCATTCAGGTAGACCGACCAAAGGTTCGTAACAAAGCTTGCACCTCGCGCGCTTCAGAATCAGCTGGCTTCAGAAACGGGGACACATCCATCTCTATGTACGGGTATCCCTTTCTGTCAAGCCAGGCTACCTCAGCTCTCTGGGAATCTCCCAGTCCTTCTGCCTTCTCCAAAACCCTGCGCTCCTGCGGTGGCAGCCATTGCCGGAATAAACGCTGTTTCTCACGACTCTGTTGGGATGAGCCATCATACCTCTTCTTGTCGGAAAGCCTCAAAATACCAGCTTGCCTCGCATCCTCAAACTCTTTGCTGTTCTCAAAGTCCTTGATCTTGTTTCTCACACTCTCTCCGGCAAAGTTTTCTTGTCCGACAGTGGCAAAACTTGCAGCCTTTCCTTTCGCACAAAGCCCCTCCCAGAAGTAGACATGGAGGACAGCGCCACATGCCATGGCCATGTGGACATTCTGAATCCATACTTCCCACCACTTGCAGCCCCATTCCTTCTCCTCCCCATACAGTGGAAAGCACCAACAGGCTCCATGCAACTCCTCCTCCTCAGGTATCGGGCAGTGCTTCCCATAGAGCTGGGTACCCTCAGCCATAAAGACCACGGCTGCACTTGTTTGGGCACCTTGAGCACGTCTTGCCAAGTAATGCCAGGCAGTTGCGTAGAGACCAGGCCAGGAGGCAATACAGGCTGTGCCAGGCCTCGACAAAATGGCAAGTTGTTGATTGGCCGTGGAGGGTTTCATGCTTTGGAAGAGCAATGAAGACAACTATCAAACAAATTGAGGAATGAAATGATTGATCAATGCCAGGTGTCGTTCGCTTTGGCTCTTCTCACCAACGTAAACCTTGTCAAATCTTATCTAATATCTGAATTTTATACAAATACATCCTTATACAAATAGATTAATAAATGAGTGCAGCAACAACAGAAAACTCTCAATTTAAGCGATGCAAAGCAACTTCTCGATGACCTTTCCTTCAAACAGGATGGTCGCCTCCCGCGCATGGAATTTGGCCTTCTCGTGATCTTCGCGACGATCATAGCCATCGGCCAGGTACAGGTGGCGTGCCCAAATCCCCATGAAAGGGCCGAGTCCTCTAACCACGATGAAGCATCCCAATGCCCAGGCGCAGGCCAGCAAAAGCAAAAGCAGTTGGCATCTCTTAGTGTTGGGCAATGCCCATGCCAAGCAGAAAAAAAGCAATGCTGGGCAAAGAATCCGGGCCATGAGGCTGAGTGCATCAGAAAAGCTCAACGCATGTAGTTCCCACACCAACCAACCCAGCAGCATAAACGAAAAACTCAACTTGGAATGTATCCGTATTCGACATTCCTCGGATCTGGTCCTCTCCTCAAGTTCTCTTTCTCTGCGCTTCACTTGCTTCTCCTCCTCTCGAATGGCTTGTTGCTCCTGCTTCAGCCAGTCTCCCACCTTTCGGCAGAAGTCCACATTCACTTCAGAGACCATCACCTTCAGTTCAGTCTGATCGAACTCACAGTCCCGTGCGGTCACCGTGATGGTGTTATCTTCCCTTAGGCGCAGCTGGAAGGACTCTGCTGCCACCAGAGTTCTGGCTTCCGGATATAACACCCGCCACGGATCGGCAACTTCGATGGCAACCTCCAGATCATTGATCACCTCCCATGAGTGCAAGGTTGAAATCAGGGGTGCATTCTCTTCCATCTGCACACAATGGACAGTTCTTGCACAAGGGCGAGGATGTGTGTCTTTGTTCGACGATATACTTCGGCATGAAGGGCCAGATTGTTGGGATGAAACAGCTAGGTGACGATTGAACCACGTGACTTTACACCAGATCCGACAGACTCTTTGACTCGACATTTGGCCAGGGCTGGGTTGACATTGGGTTGACAGAAATGTCTGCAAACAAACCACACCGGATGTGGGTGGTTTAGGGTGGTTTGTGCCGCATGCCATGTCCAAAGCATTGATCGGTGGTATTTCCTGTTGAATCATCAAAGCTGACTCGTGGAAATCCGACAAAGCTTGCAAGCAAACCCCAAGCCATAGGCTACCATGGGCTACAGTATGCCTGCGTGTTACTACGAAGGGGCCAAACAACATACAAAAAAACAATCAGATTGACAAAGAAACAACACAGGACATAAAGCAATTTTGGGGGGTTGAGAAACACCCAACGCCCAAGGCAATGTGAGAAAACATCCTGCAACTCCACGTTCTGCTGTCGCACAGTGTTTCAGACTCGGCTGGTCCACGTGTCTTGGACGTGTCAGACGTGTCAGACGTGTCAGGGCGATGTTTGGAGGCGGAGAAAAATAGACATAGTCCTGACATAAACATCAGGACGTGTCTTTTACGTGGCTTCTACGCTTTGGGCTTCTACGCGGCTTGATGTCAACTTTGACCGTGAATACCCATGGAGGAGCCGGCGTATACTTCGGGTTGACCGCCCTTGGAGCTGAAAGTTCACGAAGAACACATCACATGGAAGTGGATGGCACCCCTTAGTTTGTAAAGGAAAGTCGTTTTCCAGCTAAACCATGCCATCCACTTCCATGTTACTGAGTCAGAGATAGTCAGAGTGTACTCCACTCTTGAATGATTGCCGTCGCCCACCATCTGACCACATCCAGTCTGTTTGAAGCATTGGCCACCGTTGATGGACAAGCTCTTCTTCACCCACTGACAGAATGTTCACATGTGTTTTATCTCCATGTTTAAAAGGGTATGTCCAGATTTGGCATATCGCCTACATATATCCTATTTCCTTTCCACCAAAAGCTCCTTACATGTACAGTATGTCCTTGGGTGCAGCGAACAGCATCACAACATTCTGTGCAGCTCCTTGCGTTTCAGACCACGTACGGTCTACCGGCTTCTTTTGGGGCGGTGGACTGACAATAAGCAGTTTCTCCTGGTGGCGTTCGATTCCGCTCTTCGATACCTGACCAGCCTAATGTTAGATGGTCATGGTCTAAACGATGATTTGGATGATGGAAGATCTCACAATCTGAACTTGATGATATTAGATGAACATCTCAGAAATCATGAGGATTTGGATGAGGGGAATCAATCCCTTGCAAATGAACTTGGGATGGGATTGGGACCCAATATTGTTTCTTTTATGGTCTGCAAGACATGACGGTCGGCCTCCAGGATGGTGGTCATAAAGAGCGCAAGCATCATCTGCACCTTGGAGTGGCCAGGAGTGGTCATTGCAAGGGAGTGGAGCAAGGGAGTGGTCACTCTAGACACGACCCATGGGATTGCCGTAGGACTGCCGAGAAACGGCCAGGGGTGGTTGACTGGGGGTCAATGGGGCGGCAGTCCTATGGCAGTCCCATTAGTCGTGTCTGGGTGTTTCTACAGCATATGTTTTCACACGTTTTCTTCCAAGAGCACTGCCAGTGCAAACCAGCAGCCAAAGGGAGGCTTCGACTGGTCTCCGCAGGATTGAAGACATGCACTTAGAAAGACGACCAAGTAAACTCCAAAGACCATACTTTGGTTCCTCCTCCTCTTAAAGGATACTCATTAATTCTCTGTTACCTTCCTTGAATTCATTGTGTTAGTTTTGGGGGGCGGGGGATGAGGAGAGATGATGGACCACCTACCCAAACCCACCCAAAACCAGTGGCCGCACCCCCAAACACGAAAAAAGACACCACGATCCCACACCACTGCGCACCCACATCACACCACGTTGCGAAACGGCTACGCCCCACCACGGCATCCGAACGCCCACCCCTTTGGCCTCTCGGCTTCGCCGAGGCGCCACGACGAGCAAAATCGTGGACCACGCCAGGGCCGCCACGGAGCCCCGGATCGACGCGATCATCCTCCGTCGGCGGTGTTCGTGTCACCGGTGAGTGGGTCCCGACGGGGATGGTCCTCTGGGGGAGTGAAGGGAGACAGGACACTCAGAGTGGATGGTCCAGCTTGGGCCCTAAGAGGTCGAGAAAAGGGGGAAAAAAACCTGCTCCGGACGAACGTTCTCAAGACGTCCCAGGTCCTTTGTCTTGAGCCGTATGTGAGCCTGTGCATGATATAGCTTTGGAAAAAGCCACACTTGTGTCATCATCACAAAAACTCATTCTCAAGTCCAAGGAACCTTCAGGTATGTTTCATCTTCGGATCCCGGCCACCAGGGCCACAACATACAACTCCGCCAAAAGATGGTTCCAAAGACCCTGTGGTCAAGAAATTATCACCAGTTCAACTGTGGATCTTCCTGACACCTTCCTCCAAGATCGTCAAGCTTCCCCTACTGGCATCTACGTACAGTAATGAATGTCTTTATGTTGAATTTGTGACTTGGAACCACGACGGAAGGTCATGTTCTGTTCCACTTTAGCTTAGGCTGGTGGTGTCTTTCTTTAAGCCGCCCGAGGCACAAATACAAGGCGTCGTACTTTTCCAAGATACGCACCAAACGAACCTCAGTTGATGCCAATTCCTCCAGTACACTTCACAAAGCTCAGAGCTCCTAGTAGCTTATTATCTTCTGCTTTGATACGTGTCATGGGATTCTTGGTTTATCATATCATGAGCCTGGTGCTCGTAGTGGAGCAAAACACTCAAAACTTGCGGTCGCAGTTTGACCTCACTTTCTAATGGTGAATAGAGTGCTTCAGGACGTCCAACATATTTCTGGGTGGCTCCCAACCGGACGCTGCTTGGATCGAAACGCCGCATCGGCATCCCTTCAAGATCAGACTGGACTGTTCCCCTACGGATCCAGTACGAATCCAAGCGGTCTGAGAGTGCACAGCACCCGGGGGTTTAGGGAATCCTCCAGCCAAACGGCACTTGATCGCCCTTTGAAGAGGCTCGACTGTCGACTCGACGTGCGATCGGTTGGGTTCGCACCTCTCACCGATGATGGAAGCCCCAAGATGTTGACAAGCCGGCAAGACCGAGATGTTGACACCTACAGGGGTCACATCCCAAAATGTCCCCCAACCATCCATTCTGGGTGAACAAAAGACAAACACATGGAACATACCTAACACTTCCTGTCCGGGTGCCATGTCTGGAGACCTGTAAGTAGGATAGGGTAGTCTATTGGACACCCATTGGATGATCCTGGTATACATTGGTCCATTCATGTTAAGTGATTTCTGCAAAAAGGAACACCTTCTCCGGCACCAGCACAAAACGAAGACCGAAGACCCCAGACCCGTGGGAAAAAGGAAAAAACCAGGTCCGACCAAGGTGCCACACGCGAGAGCTTCACGAGCCGGAACAGGCGAAGCATCATCGGATGGATGGGGAGGTTGTCCGAGCCCGTCAAGGTCTCCAGGTACCAGACCTTGGGTTTCGGCATGGGACTTCTGTGTGGTTTAAAGAGAGTATTTGTTTTGGGGGGGCAACATCGGTAGGAAAATATAGGGTAAAATCATCCCCCCAAACACAGATATGGTTTCACTGCAGATGTTCCCTTGGAGAACATGGGACTGGAGACATCTGGAGAACGGCTTGACTAGTGGTACTATGTGGTACTACCACCAACTTTTGGAGACGTCCTGATGCTTTTGGAGACGTGCCACATGCGACATGCCATCGAAAAGGCTTCCAAAGAGTCGTGGACGTTGGTGGAGTCCTCGGAGTCCCTGGGTCTGCTAGCCTCTTTCAAGTGGAAGGGCGGCAGCACGACGCGTGCCTGCTATAGCCTCTTTTGGAGTCCTTCAAGTCCATCAATGGGGTGCTCCCATTGGGGCGGGCTCTTTGAGGCTCCACCCAATGGTTATATACACCTATACAGTAGCCGAAGCCACAACGCCGTGCCAACACACGCCCCAAAACGCACGATAAGGGCTGCGAATTCGCTCGGAAGCGGTGTTTCACTGCCCGAGTTGGATGAAAAGCAGGGACCCAAGAGATCGTCACAGGGGCGGGCTGTGGTGGGCTCTAGCGGCCCAAAACTCCCTTATAGAGATCGCCCAGTTAAGTTGGCCATCCAGGTCACATCTGAGATGTGAAACAGGAGAATCACCTGAAAGTACTGAATTTAAACACCCTTATTGTTTGCCGATGGCCATAATTCTTGTTGACCAGAATACTCGCAAATACTCGCAATAGATCATTTACGGGTGTTGTTATTCTAATTTCGGACTATTGTGAGAAGAATATCCCAATCTATATGTTAAAGGCTGTCTACTCGAAGAGGACCAACAAGGCACCTGCGTTCCTAGGCAGGTGCTTCAGTTTAAAGCACCCAGAATAAACGAAACGTTCCGCTCGAACAGAAACTCCTTGTCTGCATAGCCAACCAAGCGGCATTTGCAAAATGTGTTGAAGGAAGTCCGATGTTTGTCGCAAACAAAGGGGATCCAATTCCTCTCCCCGCCCATTCTGTCACCAATCCAGTAGGAGTCAGGTTTTGCCACTTGGCCTCGCAGGAAAGAAATTCAGGATCACATTCTGCGGCCGAAGCTCCGCCACTACTGCAAAGTCCATCAGATTCCAAAGGTCCTCGCAGCGCAGAAAGCCATGAAAGCGCCCTCCAACACCCTCCCATTCGAGGAAGCAATCGCGGGCGGGGGGTGCTTGTTGGCGGACCTGGCAGACGATAGTGCTACCCAAGGAACCCGCCTTGAATCCATGTCAACTGCCCTGGGTTCCCCGGTTCTTGCCGTCCAATCAACTTAGTTGATTCATGCAACATCAATATGTTTCCAATTCAAGCGTTCGGGACATCAAACTCTCGGGTGTTTGTTGGGTCGGATGAAACCCGACAAACCCTGCCTTGAAGAAATGGTGGTACAGTACGCCCACCTTGAGGACAATTTCCTGGCACGAAGAGGACACCGTGTGCATGCATGCTCTGTACAGGACACCTTGAGACATCCGCCAGTCAACAAACGGCGAAAAATACCCTGCAGTGCCAGATTCTGACATGACCAAATCAAGGTCCCCAACCTGTGGCAGTGAAAAATATACAAACAAATTGCTTTCGTTCATTCTTAGTCTTTGAAGTTTGATATAATTCGCTCAGCTCATGTTTATCCACCTCCTAAAACACCCTTTGGACACCAAACACATGGTGATGTACCCAGATCCACTCGTGGAGACATCTGCTCGACAACACTGTCCATCTGCTCGGACAAGTGCTGTGGCTTGAACTTGAGCTTTGATGGAACCAGTTTTTGCAGATGGAACCAGCGAGCCCGGCCAATGGCCTGGATTGGTGTCGGTTTGTCCGGACAACTAACAGCTTGCTTGCTGTGGATTCTCCACAGAGCAACCGAAGACCAAAACATAAAGATCCAAAGAGTGCATCCCCATAAGGGACACCCCTTATGACCTAGTAACCTCATTAGCAAATAGTTCTGCCTAGTAACCTAGAGAACAACTATATTTACTATTATTATTCACTAGGTTACTAGGCAGTGGCAGCCCCTACCAGCAACCTGGGAACGTCACAACCTGTCTCTGCCAATTCTTTTCTTGTGACCTTCGCACCCAAAAGGAGAAAACGCAAACCTTCCTATTTCGAACCAATCCACCAGATTATAGCGAAGAAAGCGCAACAGCAAAAGGCTTGTTGTATCTTGGGGCTTGCTTCCATGTTTCTCTGCAGGGAGAATTGAAGAGAACGAACAGCTAGAACTCTCATGAGAGCTCGAAGCGCGCGTTTTGTTTTCTCTTTTCTCCTTCTCTGGGGGCCACTGTGATGGACTGGCTTCAGCTTCCAACAAGTCAAAGTCACTCATTTTAGGATCTAGGGCAGTCATCTTTCAACGTGAGTACTTGAGGATCTAGTACTGTTGCCTCGAGAATGCCTGTTTCAACGACCAAGGAACCAACTCTTACAACATGCGCAGAACAAGGGAACTACGTACTAAGCAAGAAGTTCCGTTTTACCTGGGACTACCTGAACGGGTACAGGTACAGTTTTCTTACCTTGCCCACCTCATGCAAATGTCCCATCGATTAGTTTCAATCTCTTTCAACGTGGTAAGACGAGGCTTTCGCACTCGAATCCCGGTCTTCAGATGTCTTCATGCGCACACCATCAGTTCATGCGCACCGACCAAAGTTCAGCCAAGGATCCACAGTGAATAAGATCCCAAAGAAATACTCCTCGGATGGCAGGTGGATGAAAGAATCTATCCAACACCTTGTTTTTGGATGAGCACCAATTGTTTGATCTGGAAGGGCACCCCCAAAAGCATCGACCAAAGACCTAACGCTTGGGACGAAAGTCAAGTGGCATCGAAAGTCCGTCCAATGACTACATCACCCCCGAATTCAATGAACAAATGAGTGAAACACGATCAACATCTGGGTCAAGGATCTTCCCCCATGATTCAATAAACCTTGAAAAACGTGCCAGCATGTGAGGGGACCCAGTGCAAAAGGACGTCCGATCAAACTGGGTATAGAATGTATTATATAATAAGATCATCCCAAACCTATTCTGCCTCCCACGCTCATGAAGGATCATGTGGGGGGTATTCATCAAGAGTCAACATTGGCTCGCCCTTGAGGCTATGTGAATGGCATCGTCCCGAAAAGATGACGCTGAAATTCCGAAGATCAAAAAGCTGGGTGTTCATTCACTTCCATGATGATTCCAGGGAGTTTTCCTCAAACATCGGCACCAAACAAACACCAACCTCTTTGGACGAACCTCTACGGTGGGACCGTCCCACGGTGGCCGTGGGAACCACCAGCGAAGCCGAAGGAGCCACTGAACCGCGGAACCGGCACAGCAAAAAAAGATTGCCTGGGGGTTGCGACACCTCCTAAGCAGGTATTTGGGGGTCAGTTTCGGGGGGTCTAACTACATCTAACTACCTTCTCAGGAGATGTCTGAAGGTGTAGGGGAAGAACACCTGCCGGAAGCAAATTGAAGGAACACCTAAAGCAAACTTTAGAAATCTCCAGAACATTTGCTATGATAGGCCACTTGTGGGAAGCGAAGCGTCGAGCATAGTTTCAGAAGACATTTGTTTGAATGGGTCATTGGACAGAAAAGGAAAAAACATATATATAGATCTCTGCTTGACCTATGTATCCTATGACTGTTCTTGGCCGATCAAAATCCTCATGAAGTGCGTTGGCTCTCACAAACAAGCGAAGACTAGGACCGCCTAAGCAAAGAGCATCTCAAAGCCTACGCTAACCTTGACACATCAGCCCTCCATGTGTTATAGGAGCTCAAACATATAGCCACACCCCAGCCACCTGTCAATACGTTTGAACAAACAACAAGCTAAATGTGCTACAAAGCAAACCTTTGTTGATAGATTCCAAGAGTACTTAGTACACATCAGCTGTTCTTCTTCAAAGAGTTCGCGTATCCAAAAACTGCGGCGACATGGTTATCTCTCTTTTTAAAGGGGCCTCTCGCAAATTGGTCGTCGCAGGGTTTGGCGGTTGCTCATATGTTGACAATTCTTGTGCCACCCTGTCATACATATATATATATATAGATATATTATATATATATAAATTCAGTATATGTTAATTTAAGCTAATTATATATACATCTTTGTTCTAGCACTTAAAGCCTGCGAATAACAGTGTCCATGCAGGGTTGTCATGTATTTAAGCCGGTGACCAAAACAAATTTCGCACCCAAGGTTCCAAAATGTCAAAGGCCAGCTCTGCACCAGGCCAAATCTCATTTGCTGGTCGGTCAATGCCTGAGGCGTGTGACGCTTCGGATGGCATCCATCGACCGTTGTCCACTTGTTTCAGTTCGGTCCTTCGTTTCTCACGGTGGAAACCGCCCGTGTCGAATGGTTTCTCCAAAGCCACTCCGGACAAACTCGCCGTTCGTGTGATCAACATATCACGACGTTCAAAAAAGAGAGAGAGAGAGAGATAGGTCAACATCCATTGCTTCGGCACTTCTGGAGCCAGCACGTACTATGTCACACTTGGGCTTCGTGGAAGGAGACCCGTGGGGATGAAACCGCCCCAAAGTCACAAGCATTAGTGTTTTCTTGATCAATTGTCACCTTTCTTGGGTGGTTGATCGGTCGCAACCGCGTCAACCTCTTGCTTGAACAGACCTCCCCACTCAAGCACCAGTAAACCCTGTCCGAGAGGCCAAATGCAGGTCCTGTGCACCAAGGGCTTGTATCTCATGTCACGCGGGCATGTTCATGAGTGAAGGGCGTAGTAGTGCAAGGTATTTGCCCTGCTTGTCCGAGTAAACAACAGTTGGTACAACTGGACTTCAGTGGAGGACCCTGAACTCTTAAAATGCTGCAAGTCTACAAATCGTACAAATACTGCAAAATGTTGCAAGGCTACAGTCTGAAATTGACACCTCAAGCAGTTTGGAGCATCCCAACAAACACACCAGGGATGAGTTGGAACATCCGGACCGTTTGGGATTTTGTGGGATGTGGTCAGAATACGTCTCAGACATCGGTTTATGTCAATTCTTGTTCACATCGATGATCATCAATGTGTTCGGTCCATATCCGTTCTTGAGAACTCATATGAGATCATATTATGAGATCATATGCAGTATGTTGGGTCTATCCCACAAGCAGTAACAGTGGATGATGGGGCCTGGTTGCTGGCCCATTGCCTCTAAGTATAGTCATTTGCCTGTTTACCGACTGTTACAGGTTTACTATGGACAGACCCAATGAGTATGACAGAGTAGTTGTTTATAGTATGGACCAGGATGAGGTCACTTAGGTCTGTACAATGTCACTTAGAGACTCCAAAGAGGTCACTTTGAAGGTCCTGGATGGCATGTGTTTCAAGAAGCTGCGACATGTTTATCCTTTGACTCGGGGACTAGAAGAGTCAAGGTCCTGCACCGCGAAACCCGGAAAAGTCCTAGACCATGGTGTGGGTACCAAATTTATCCGTCAAACCTGACTTGTTCATCACTTATCGCTTTCAATGCAATTCCTTTACACCAACAACTGATGCAACCTGGCCGGCAGTGTTTCCACCCCGAAAACCATCTTCTGAGCTGTCCAAAGCTAAAAGCCCAAAGAGAAAAAGCAAAGACAAACGCTAAACTTTTTTTGGGCTCAGCATGTGCTACAGCTACAGCTGGTCTGCCCAACCCCCCAAGCCAGCGATCTCCTTGTTCATAGCCGGTCTTCAAGCCGCTATACTCCGACTGAAAGGCCATGACGCACGTGTTGGCACAAATCCTCAGCCCATCGCGCAAGCCCATCGCGCATCGTGCATGGCTTTGGGGCGTCGTGCATCGTCCGGTCTCCGAGACCAGATGCAACTGGAGGAGTTGGTTTATACATTCTCCATGACCACCTCCTACTAAACTCAGTTGTTTAAAGTCATGTTGTATGTTTCTCTGTGAGAAAAAGATCATGTATAACTATAGTCGTTTGATATGACCTGGTACAAGAACATTACCTCCTCAAATAGTTATATACACTTCCTATATAATATGTAAGTACTTTAAGTGCTACTAGGTGTAGGACCATAAGATTGTCTATGAATGTCCTTTTTGCTTCGCCACTTAAACGGAACTCGCTGAGATCACACGGGTGTGTGAACAGGGACCAATGGGGAAGAAAGACAATCGATATTACAAAAAGGGCTGCGGGTCTCACTAATGTAGACTCTTGATGAATAACCCCCCCTATGAAACGGTTTTGTCAATTCGAAGGAAGGGGTAATTAACCAAGAGCCTCGATGATTCCACGGTATCTCTGTTTCGCGTTTTGTCTCGACCCCTTCGCGTCAGGGAGCAACGCGCCAAAGGCCACCTCGAAGGGAAAACTCAAGACCAACTTGGCCAGTCGCGCGCGCAGCCTGGCGATCGGTGTCCAGGCCACGTGGCGATCCGAAGCGCCCGACGCGCAGGTCAGAAAGGGAAGGGAGAGTGAATCGTTGCTTGTGCGGGGTGATGGGTGATGGGACAGGTGATGGGCACATCTGTAACTAGCATGAAAGTAGAGGATCGAGGCGGATCGAGAGCGAGTTTTCCTGATCATTTGAATGTAGACATACCTGAACCATCCTGTCTGGGTGTCCTGTCTGGAGATCCCTAGGAAGTGTAGAAGTGCCAGCCAGAACACCCAAACAGGATGGTCTGACACAGTTTTCTTATCTTGGCGAAAACCAACACATATGGCAGTAATATGCATCAGGTACAGGATCGCCGCACCTACCAAAACCTCAGGTATACTGGATGACTTCAAGGCGAAGGTGTGAGAAAGGCCCAAAAGAACAGGCCATGAGAGGCGGGAGGTGCCTTTGATGGAGCTCCGGATGTTTCTCACTCCTGCAAGCCCCCAAGGGGGAGGTCATAAGGGACTGAAGGGATGTGGATCTCTACGGTGGCGCGAAAGCAGCGAACAAGAAGTACCAGTCCCAAGACCACCAAGAACGACTCGAACCAAGACAGGGGGTCCTTAAGGTACTCCTCTCCTTTCAAAGCAGTGGCTAGCCAAGATGCTGAGGGATTCCGGCTCCCTGTTGAAAGGGGAAGAACTGCATCATTGGTGATATCTAATTTGCCCAAAAAGGGTGTTGATCGCTCCCTCCTAACAACCAGCTACAGTAGGTGGTAATTTGAGACTTGAGTATTTGAGTGCTTCGAATGAGAGTCTGTTGATTCTCTCTCGCTGGGTCAAGCGCTGCAAACAACCCCTCTCGGTGGGCAGGTCTCCTTAGGATTGTCCTCCAGCGTCCGGCATCTGGGAACAAACACTATACTCGAAAAGGGGGAGAGTTCGCATGCCCATCTTGAAGTTGTGCATCACCCCCTCCCAGAACGCTGGTTGTTCGTCAGACTCAGCGGCAACAGAACCTGCAGAGTGTTGGTTTCGCCGATCTGCTGTAGCTTGGGTGGTGCCATTGCCGTGTGGCTGCGCTAGTCAAACTTAACGATCCAATATGACATAACCTCCCTTTGAATCACCCGCATCTCCATGCGAAGGATGATTCCAAGTTGAACTGCAAACACACGCCCGTGGTAAAGAAAAAGACAGGTTAAACATGACGTAGCAACAAGGGCATCGCTTCTAGTAACAAGTGCCTTACTACTAGTAATAAGAAACTACTATAACAAGTGCATCGCTACTAGTTACTAGTAGCAAGGACGCTAACCCTGGGCCAAACATTTCTTGACCCAGCTCCCAGCTCCGAGTCGATCCCGACCCATCGCACCTCATCCCCGAGACCCATCGCGCTTCTGGCATGAGCTCCTGCGCAGATTTGGGCGTGGTTCACTGTCGCCAAGTCAAACCCATTTTGGGAGATCCGTGATGGGTACAAGCGGTCACCAATGAGCTATCATGAGACCACTGGGCATGGAAAGTGGTCTCAGTCCGGAACATGACAGGGGATGGCCCTCGGGCCATCCCAATCTGGAACCCGTTTCTTTCGAGTCTATCGCGTTCTCAAGTTGCCCTCCCACGCTTGGTTAGCCCAATTCTGCTTTGTCTCTGGCGGCCAGAGGAAGCAAATCGACTTGTACCTCACCTCGTTCTCCTTGTTGAAGAGCGCTTGCGACACCTGGGGAGTGCGACTCTGACTCTGTGGCTTTGGGGCCGCGGAGGCGGAGAAGAAAAACGACGAGTTGGTTTGGAGCAGTCAGCAAGGCAATTAGCTTAGTTGCATGTGCCTACCGCTTTCCTTGAAAAGTTTGTTCTTTATTTCTACCAGTGTTGAGGCTTTGCTTAGGCTGACAAAAAGATTGGAGACGATTGGTAGCCTTTCTTCTCTTGCTTCTATGTCTCTTTGATCTTTTTTGCATCCATGCTTGCATGCTTCCTTGCTTACTGACTTCATGTCCTTTCTTGCTTCCTTTCCATTGGCTAAAAAATGAACAATCCAACATTTGAGCGCACGCGCGCGCGCGTACAAAAAATCACACGTATGGAATCACATGGAGGACAAACAGCTGCCAAGACGGAACATGATGTGCAGCTCAATTCAAAAACTGCCCTCCACCCCACCTCCCACCTGATTCTATTAAATCTAAAATTAAAACTAATAGAATTTGCCTCCCCTTAGAGGTTGAGATCACCGTCTGCAACTGTGTACGCCAAGTCGCAGCACCCACTGCAGTGGCTCTCTTTGTGGCAACACCTGCGGAGGCTTTGGTCTGGAGGCTTTGGGCTGGGTAGAAGTCAGGGTCCATGAAGTCGGTTTTTTGGGGGGTTGAGTGCCCAGAACCTCTACCGCCCTACTGGCAGATGGGCTTGAGTATACCCAGATTGCAGAATCATACCTCCTAAATCCCAAGGTCTATAGAGCCTTTTGTGTCGAAACAAAAACCTGGCCTACGGGATGTTTCAACCATTTTCAACCACCTTAAATGGGAAGAGAGACAGGTTTTTCAAATGTATATTACCGTATACCTATGGAGACCTATTTACGTAACGGGGGAACGGGTAATCTATGGGACACCAGAAAGGATGATTCTGGTACCAGCTTCTTCAAAGTGACTCTTTTGGAGCCTTTTCAGGTGATCCCTTGGCCTAAGTGACCTGACCAACGAGGGGCACATAGGAAGCAGGCGACGAAGAACCAGGTGCAAAGCCTCACAAAAAGAACCTTTGAGCACTGCATAGAAGAAGGCAGCCGCCGCTTCTACCATGCATGTTCATCGACACTTCGTCCAAAAATGCCCATGCATGACCCCCCCTGAAGTCAATAGGGTCAATTCCCCTGGCTCCCGCAAAAAGCATCCCCTAGAACTTCAAACTCAGAAATCTGATTCCTTTGGCTCAGGAGGGAAACCCTTGATCGCCACACCGCCACCCACCGGCGATGGTCTAAAAACACCGCACCTCGATGTGCCGCCCGTTGGCGCATCCAGGCATTCAGGCTTCCGCGACGTTCTGCGCCTGGCGGTGTGAAGATGCACTTTAAGAGTTCCGGGAGCGACGTGGGAAGTTTCTTTGTGCGGCCTTCTTCCAAAGGCCTCCTTTAGTTTCGTTGCATATTGAAAATCCAATTGAGCGGGAAAAACCAGTGAATTGTATCCCTTCAAAGGAGCTCCTACCCCTGATGCATATATGATTTTTTTAGTTGGTTAATGTTAGTTATGAGTCATTACTAATTATTGGGAGGCGGGTTGCGTGTACGGATTCTGACACCTCGATCTGTAAGCCTGGAGACATGCTCTTTTTTGGTGGACTTGGATTGGACGTCTTTCACTTTTCGTCCACCACCCAAGTGCACAGGCCGGCCCATGTCTGGAGACTGGATGTGTTCATGTTAATAACCCAGGGGGGAGATCGTCAGGGTCTGGAGCACCAGTGTCGGGCAGGAGCGGGACTTGGCTTCGGAGGCTTCTTTTTGGGGGGTCCACGTTGGACCCCGTGGAAGAGATTACTGGCAAGTGGATTATAGGCAGTAGAGACATACTGCTAGATCCTGGTAGATGGCCAAATGGAACATCATTTCATGAAGTACGTATATAGCATGCATAGCATGATGGGAAAGGCTGGCCACTGGAAGGAGGCTCAACATCCCGTGGGGCAGTCCCCCAAAAAAGGGCCAAATGGGTGTGTCTGAAATAGGAAGACCCTCAGCTTTAAGCCCAAACACAAAGAACACAGCAAACAACAACACATTGGTTGGAAGGTATCCCTATTCTAAGACACACCAAAATCCAACCACCATCATCCTCAAACTCTCAAATCCTCACACGGTGCTTTTCTCCACAAAGGACCAGTGTGTGAATGGAGATGGGATATTGCGTGTTTGCAAACTATTCTAAAGAATTGTTTGGAGGTGGAGGTGGAAGAGTATATAAAAATATGTAAAACGTGTTTTCTCCATGTTCCTCCCAGATCTTCTTTCTGGTTGTCTTGTTTTCGTTAGCTGTATTTGAGTAACCACCGCACCACTCCTGTTATCAAACATCACCTCTTGGTTACTGGGAAATCTCTGAACTCTAGGCTGATCCAGCTATTTATGTATATAGTATGTTGTTTAAAACATGTTTCAACTATATCACCAGTATTGCAAAAATAAAATCTTAGGGCCCAGCATGGTCACCCGAGAATTGAAATAAGAATTACTCAGGGGGGGCGGGCGGAATAATTGAATCCTATAAAGGTGTCTTTCCCCTTGCAGTAAAAGTCACTAACTCAACAAATGAGTTCCCCTCATGTCCTTTTCATGTTCTCTTTGATGTCCTTGTCATTTTCCGTTGTGTCCTTTCCACAAGCAGTTTTATAGAAGACCTCCTACTACAAGCAGTCCCTGAGTTGTTTGCTATCGAAGGCACATTTACAAAGCAACATCCTCTATAGCCATCCCTTCCCTCCGTGCCACCCCCTATTTCACCCAAAAAATCCTCAAAGAAGATATCCGCCGCCCACACAGCGTCCACCATCCTCCATCCTCCGCGTCCGCCGCGAACCGCTCTCAGCACCAGCCTCGCGCCTTGGGACGCTTGCGTGACCAGCTTCCCCGAGCGCGTCGTACTGATCGGGGCGTCGGCGTCCTCCTCGCCGAAGCTGTCGGAGCTGTCGTCGGAGTCGCTGCCGCTCGACGAGGAATCGCCTGGCCAAGCGGAGAGGACGAGTGAGGGTGTCCGAGAGGGGCAGTACAAGTGGGTGGGAGCTGAATGAACAAATCTATTATGTCTTTAGACCCGGAGACGGAGGAGGCGGAGGAACAGGCGGAGGGACGGGACAGCTCGACCCGGGCACGTTAGCCACATTGAAGCCTGACTGCGCATGTCAGGAAGGTGAGGTGCAGCCGGAGACATAATTTAATACTCTTCCATTTCCCAGACACTCCACGACAAATATGCCTACATTGAATTCCGGAAACCGTCCCAATAAGTCCCAATGGTTCAATATGGCATACATCGAGTGTCTGGTTTCAGTACGTCAGCCACCTTCGCAACCTCAGTTCAACCTGAATTCACGTCGACTTCTTCCCGCCTCCTTGATCCTTCTTGTGAGAGTACTGCAAGCGACCTTGTAGCTTCACCATGGACATACACATCGCATCCATGAGCTCCTCACCAAGGATGAAAAGCGTGCGAAAAAAAGAGTTGGTCGTATTGGGTTTGGGAGGATTAGTATCAATGGATGGTCAAGCCAGTGGATCAGTGCAAAACAATTCTCTCGGTTCAAACCTGTTCATAGATCCATATATACATGTTAGTACACTTTTAAGATCTGTTTGATGTGTTTTTGTGCAATTGGAGACAGTAGCTTGGCTCCGTCTCATCAGATTGTCTCCGTCCATAGCCCACTGGGTACGGCAAGAGGGTTCACCACTACTCCTCAAAATCATTCGCCAGGGCATCGGTCGTACTGTCTTCTTCGCCTTTGAGACGCACGTGCAAAAATCCTAGCCAGCAACCTAGCCAGCCTAGCCGAAGGCAAATGCAACATCCTAGCCAGCCACCAAACGCTCAGTCCACAAACGGCCAAATGTTCGCCCGTCCTTGATCTTCAGTTGATCCTTCTGCAACAAGGCCATATTTAAGCTGGTGGCCTCCGCGAACCCGGTCGGTGAGACCCGACCATCCGTGGTCTTGAAAAAAACACAAAGAACATGCTTGCCGTGTTTGGGCAGGTTTACTTATGTGCTTTGGGATGTCTCTGATGTCTCCTAAGCAAAAAGTGTCAGCATGCTGAGTGTTTATCTTTATCTCTTGGTGCAGCATGTCTTGCAGTCATTGGCACACATGCTGGAGCTGGCTTGTGGGAGGAATGGAAAGGGCCAATGTGATTGCGTTTAAAGATCTTAGAAGCTGAATGATGCTGACTCAAACCTGCAATAAACCCACCTATCAAAGAACCATACCAACTTCAAGACCCTGTCACTCCGACCCAATGGTATTCAAGGATACTTCGTTGGACATGGCTTGAGAGTGTTTGCCCATGAGCCATCTGGTGAAGCACTGTGAGTCACTCCTAGACACCCAAATTCCATGAAACTGGCTAGCTTAGCATGACCAACATGGAACACGATGTAACTCTTTTGAGAACACATGCTAAGAACAAACAACTGGATATCATAACTGATGGAAAACTGCACTTTTTCAATGCCGTTTTCCATGCAGTCATCAGTATTTCCAGCTACAACAACTCCAAATATTTCCAGCTCAACTGCGCTGGGCCACCGTTGGCGTCACCGACCCCACCAGCAGGGCGTCCGGACGTTGCCCTTCAGCGACGCCACGCCGTTGCAAAGCTCCACGGCTGAGAGGTCCGAGGTGCCTTCCGCACAGAGGAGCTTGTAGAGGTCCTCCAGAGACGAAAGCCAGAAACGAGGCGCACGTCTGAAAGTTTCAACGACCCCGCGAGAGATAGAGGAACGAAGAGAGACCTCGAGAAGTCTCGGAACGGCTTCCTTTGACGAAGACACGGCAAAATGAGTTCCGCACACCGATGTTAGCTCAGCACACTGGCCTTGCCGGACATGAGAGAAGCTTCCAAGCCCATGGCCTTAGGAGCCAGCTCAAATGAGTGTGGAGGCCATGGAGTTTTTCCACACCATATGAACCACCAAAGAAATGTACTGTGTCACTGTGTGTGTGTGTCCAGAAAGACGCACCAAAGACCGCCTATCTATCTCGGCTCTTCCAGTAAAGGTTCTTGGTGGGAGTGGGAGTGAATCACGGGTTTAGAGCCAACCGCCCGTTCTCGACCAGAGACCATGTTACAACCAACAAATGCCTGTTGATTGAAGTATAGATTGCTATTCCTCAAATGCTTGAGATTTGTCATTTCAGGTCGAATCAAAAACCAGTGACTCCGATGTACCAAAATCTTTGATATCAAAAAAGCACCTTCAAATCTTGGCCTCTGCAAAAGACCACACCCAAAGCACCTCTTTGTGCCCACATGGAGCTCATGCGCAGAATCCATCCCTTGAGTCCAAGGTGCGCTCAACCAGGCGACACAGGCCGGGTCTTGGATGATGCTGTCGAACTCCTCCTGTTGGGCGAAGAAGAAACCGACGGACACGCACGTGCCGGGGGTGAAGGAACGCGACGTGGAGTTCCACGTGGTCCGGGGTGGGTTTCGAATCAGGTCCGGGGCGGTTTCAAGGTCTTGTCCCATCCCAGTGTATTCCCAGTCTGAATTTTGTAGACAGGATGACAAGCCACCACCCGGTATTGGCACCAAGGTCACTATTACTGTGACCAATTGTAACATACACCACTGAAGAGTTCAAACCTGGCGCTGGACTCGACCATGTTCCGAATGTAAAGAGTTGGATAAGGCATCCATTGCCTTCGAGTCTGCTTGACGTCGCCTAGTTTGTGATCCCAAAAACCGACCACTCCATTCTGTGATGGATACCTTCTGGGGCAAACTTGAACGCATGATTTGCCGAAGCTGGACCTGGACCCACTGGAAAGTATGGCAGCCCCAGCCCTAAGGTCAAAGGCTGTAGTGGAAAGTCACTGAACAAGTACGCATGTTTTTGAAGCCACTATGATGGCATAGCCAATGCACCTCGAGGTTGAATATGGTTGAATAATTCGGACCGGCATTGGCTAACATAATCTAACATATCTGTTGATGCTATGCTACATTTAGTTTTTTGTTTGCCATGAAACCTCTGAACAAATCTCTTTCACTCCGTCCGGCACTCCGGCAACGCTACTTTAGGGGCGCTCCTGGCCTTACTACTCGTAACAAGAAGCTACTAGGAGCTCCTGACATCGCTACTAGGAGCATTCTTGCTACTAACTAGTGTTTTTGTTATGAACATGAGAACTTGGTGCAAGCCAAACCCATCTCATCACCAGCATCGATGAGCGGCGCAAAGCGAGCCCATCGATCTTCGATCATTCATGGCACTAGGGAGTCCAATCAGAGGGATACTATTCAACCATTTCCACTGTTGTGTAGGTCATTAAGAAAAATATATATATATATATATTTGTTTTCATAGAGATTCATAGAAAACAATTAAAAAACATTAAAACACATAGAAAAAATAGCTGGAGAGATTGCACAAAACTGGCATCAAACAGGAGCACCCACAACTGTTCTTTTCTCACTTCTTGCTGGCACCATATACAGTCTTTTCTGGGAGGGTCTCAATGATTGGCCTGAGTTTGGCGATCAGTGAGGCACTAACCTCCCCTGGCTCCTGTGCACATGCACCTGAAGGTAGCTTGAGGTGAGGTATGTCTTCAGCGACAGACCCTGAACCAGCACCCAGGCCACAAGATTACAAAGGTGAAACCTCTCTCTTTCTTTACTGTTTCTTTCTTACTCAACCCTCTTTAATCACCATCACAGTCAGATGAGACCCTAGGAGGCCAAGTATCAGTCTCAACATTGAAAAACATTGAAAAACATTGAAAAAAATAATCTATAAAAATAAATGTTTTCCAATGATCTTCAATGTTTCCCAATGAGCATATGAGAGCCCATTGTCATCCCTCCCACGAGCACCCCTATCCTCACAGAAGATTCGATCATCATCCCATCAAAAACCCTTTATTATAATTCTTCGGCTGGATTCTTCTCCAGAAACAACAGTCTTCTAAGGAACATCTAGGATACAAGTCTCCAACAAATCAGCAGTTGCGTTGAGACCTGTCTGTTGCATGCTTTCAGGTATACTTGGGATTACTTGGGTTGTTTTAAGTATTGCTTTGAATTCCCTTTTAACTTTGGGTTGTGTTTCCAAAGTATTTGACTTTTCGTCCAACGTGGTCGACGATCGCCCTGCGACGGATGTGGCGGCCGACGACCGCGGAGCGCGCCTCGTCGAGCCGGCCGTTGCCGTTCTCGTCCGCGGCGTCGAAGAGCGCCTGGCCACGGTCGACCACGTTGGATCGACGAGCAGTCGAAGAGGTTCGGTTCGGATGGCTGCTTTTTCGGGTTTCTATCCAAGGGTTCTAAAAGGCACCAAGTCTGCAGTCTGAACACATGTAACTAAGAAAAAAAAAGGAATTCAACGGAATTCTGGCATCTGGAATTCAAGGGGCGGCCCTGACACGTCTTGCTGGGATGTTCTTCCCTTACATAGCAAACACAGCTCCGAAACATGCGGGTGAGTGTTCTCCCGCTCTGGACCGTGCCGAGAACCAGCATGGCTAAACAAGGTGTGGTCATGACCTTCTCGTAGTTCAGAAGGTTTTGAGTGGGCAGGAACGAATGGAGCGAAGTAATATATATATATAATTAGGTTTTGAGTGGACAGTCGTGGGTGGCCATGGGTGGCCATGGGGCTCATCCCTGCCGCCAACCAGGCCGTTTGACCTTGAATTTTGCTCAGTGAACATGCAGGCCCGTAAAGCACGAAAGCAGCGCTCGCTCTTAATGCTTGTGCTCGAGGATAGCTGACAGCTTTCTTGAGCTTTTCCCAGAAGTTCAATGTGCAGGTCACTCACAACAAAGGAGATGTGGAGACTGCAATGTCCTGTTATTTCAGCGTTAAGTCCAGGAGCAAAACACCATTGCATGCCATGCAAAATAGTTCTACATGCTGCAAGCTTCGTGCTTTTTCAAGGCCAACGTGTTCGTCAGATGCAATAGATTGTGCATGGTAAAGGAACATTTTTGGATCCATCCTGGAGATTCTGGAGTTGGAAGCTTTGGGTTCTCTTCCGGAATCCAAGCTGGAGAAGCTCATGGTAAGCTCCACTGAAGTAAAACTGCCATCCAAGAACGCCCGAATGCAACTCGATCCATTTGGCACTCATGACGCAGGGCGTTGTGCATGCGCTGCAGAACGTCATCGAGCACTCGGATGCGGCATGGAACATGCATGGCACCTTTTGAAAAGCGCTGACCCCCTCGTAATGGAAGCTTATATATCCAAATGGGTGGGGAGATGAAATCTTCAACATCTTTGGTGTCACAGGAGCTGGCAGGGAACCTCCAAGAAGCATGCCATACGTGTTCCATTCCTTCATTGCCAATCCCACGGAAGGTCTGGCTTGGAGGAGTTGGATCACAAGATGACCAGTGGGACGGGATCAAGCCATCTTCAAAGGGTTTATATATCTCCATCTCTTGGGTATATACGGTATATCCCATTCCCGGAACCCAATAGATGATGATGCTTAGTACGAGTAGTAGATATATCATATCCCATTCCCTGCGCAAAAAAGTGGATGATGGTTAGCTTGCAGCCTTTCGGCATGTCCATCTCTCGAATACTGACCGACGATGACCGACGTCTCGAAGGTGGACTTCCGACTGCGACATGAGGAACGACCATTTGTTGGTTCCAAAAGAGGTCGATCTGAGAGTCCAAACACACACACAGAGAGTGCCAGGGATATCCTTTGCACATACTTAGACTTACTGGGCCCACGGGCCCACACAGTGTGTCATCCCAATGAGTGTGTAGCTCTAATAGGTCTCGACCTCCGACCAACGAATAATTCGTTCCGGGACGTTGGACCCCCAAAGCCTACTGGTGGGTCAGTTGCGGGTCTCCGGTCTCGCCGTAGAGGCTACCCATTATAAACCCCAGTATAAATAGAGGCTACCCATTCCTGGAATAGTCTGTCATCGCCGGAGAACTTGAACACCTGCATTTCTTCTGGACTCCCAGAACTCATGGGGGTTCAACTCCGGGAGGACTTAAGAAATTAAATCTATGTTGGAGGTGTCTTCACCAGCAATGCGATGCTCAAACCGATTCCATGGCAAAAAACCCAACGCTTTCATGGTGGGGACAAGATTTCAGGTCACAATGAAGGCCAAATGGGCAAACCTCCATGATCTTCCGCAACATTCCAAGCCTCCGACTTGCCTATCTGTAAAAAAACAACCTCCGTCTCTTGTCAGAGAATCCCCATCCACTTCCACCATCTTCATCCATCTTCTACCTGTCGAATGTACATTGCCAGCTTCCTGCCTCCATCTTCTTGGTGTGGACCTTCACTGCCCTGGCAGCTTGTGATGACGGTTCTCCCCGCCGCCCGTGGGGAGAACGAATGAATCTGTGCCACAAAGGCAAAACACCCAGGCTTAGACGGCTGTCCAAACACCGTGGGGGACGGTTCTGGATCACGCCGATGCGAAGGTGAGGAACGCGAAGCATGAACGGTTCGTGATGCTTCACCTCAACACCATGTTGGCGTCATGTCCTCCCTTTGGGCGTACTCCACTTCCAGAGTTTCCAGCACTCCTTCAGTAGAAACGATAGACACCCAGTGGATGATATTGTATTTCACGCCCTTATTACAGTACATCATTGTACATCCGTTGTGGTTGTTGCTTGATTCAAACGCACGAGCACGGAAAGAGAGGGATGGCGAGAGAGAGAGAGAGAGAGAGAGAGAGTTGGGGAGAGATGGGAAAATGATAGAATGTGGTGATGGTGAGGCTTTGACTTGAGTATACTTGAGTCAGTTTGATATGTCCCCAGATTCCGCAGATTTCGCCTCTCTTTCTGGCTCATCATGATGACGTCGTCATTGCTGGCCACGTTGAACGTGTTCTGCAGGAAAACACCCATGATCACCTTCATGACCTGCACGGGTCATCGAAGCTTTGACTAGAACCTGAAAGCATTTAAGATTCAAAAAGGGTCATCCTAATTGCACCTACAATTCCACTTTTTAAGAACATGATGGCAGAATCACACATATGGTTTGCAGAATCACTCATCTTCAATCGCGGCATCGGGTGTTCGGTTTCACTCATGGGGATGGTCAACTGGAGGTTCTATAAGGACATATTGCCCTAGCGCTCCAGTCGTACCTTCTCGGAAGGTATAACTGGACCCTCCTGGCACCGAGCCCAGTCCCACCTTCTCAACATGTTAGCGTATCGAATCGGGGTCAAGCTCCATCCACTTCTCCGTGGTGGGCAGGGTGGTGGCTGTGAGATTGGGGAACGCCCATCGTGGTGGAGCATCCGGTGGTCCAAACTGTAGGCATCAACGACATCCAAGCAATTCACCCATGGAAATGGATCCGTTGGCCTTCAAATTCCAAACCACACGACCACACCGTGCCCACCTCTGGGAATTCAAGGTGACATGGACAGGATTGTGTTGTATTTACAGTATATTAAAACATAATATTAAACCATTAAAGCATATCAACACTTATACTATATTATGTTCATCTGTGTGACTAGTAAGAACCATTAAGAACCCATGATAGACTTGTCCTTCCGTCACCGATCAGATCTCTTCGGTCAAAGAATTTCACCCCGTACGCCGATCGGATGCTTCGTGTGCTGCTAGGTCACAGAAAAGCCCACCAACAGCCTGATCAGTTTGCTGCGAACATCCCGCGGGGTTGGCCACACACACAAAGCAAGGCCACACACAGCGCCCCAAATCAAGTTAATTTGAGACCTACACTTGAAGACTAACATGGAACAGTCATGGAACCGAACAAACAACGGTTGACGGTTGATGCAGGAAACAAGACTTGTGGTGCATGCTCAAGTTCTATGCTGGTTGTCAGGCGTGTCACAGTGACTTGTTAGTCCCAATCTAAGACTTTATGAATGACGCCAAGCCTCAAACAGAATATGGAATTGATGCAGGACTAGTTGCGGCAATGCGCCGTGGATCCCTTGCGTTCTTGTTCGAAGCTTTGGTTGACCACTATATAGTGCCACTGTATGACTTGGCAAACACAACTTGAACATTGGACAGTCTAGAAGAATGCCAGAAAGTAGACCAGGGTTGCATATTCTGGAACTGTATCACCCTGATTGTGCTTCACTGTTCTAGGACGTTCAGCATGATGACATCTCAACCATACACCTCTAAGAATATCTCAGGTCTTTCCTTTGCTGTGGGGGAGTCAATCTTTGATTCCGCCATCTCACATCCCGAGCAGCTGGAAGCTGAGAACGAAGAAGATCCAAACTTCGCTCACGTTCCTCAGCCAGGACAGCTGTCAAATGGTAGATGTGCTTGGCAGATCAATTCCAAATGATTCCAAGGCGCCAAGTGGATTTTTGAGGGTGATTTGGAGTATAGCCCTTCAATCCACTTCAATTCCATCGATTCATGTCATCCAAAGCACAAAGGGCTTTGCAGGTGAAGGATACAAAGCGCCATGACTCTGCCACCCTTGTGGGCACCTCGCAGTAAACCTCTGTGACCCACAGAAAGTTGTGAACCAGTTCGAGTTGGCATCAGCAAGTGGCTTGGCTCTTTTGGCTCCCTTGGCTCTCTTGGCTCTTGTGTCGCTGCTAGATTCAACAGCAAGTGATATACATCGATCAAGACGGGCGACACCGAGGAGCGACACTAAACGGGCGGCCGAACGCACCGAGGAGCTCGGTGAGCACGCGTGAAGGTGTAGGCCAATTGGCCAAGGTCATCTCGCAGAGGGACACCATCGAGCGGCTGAAGGTACCTGCAACATGCGCTGAACCGCTGGTTTTAGCAAGCGGCCATGCACAGTTCAAGCAAGTAAGAGTCATTATAGTACCATATGCATGTAATTATACATACAGTAATTATAATACGTAGAATATAAATATAAATTACATGTTGTTGTGATATGATGTGATATTATGAATTGGTATGATATGATATGGATGGGACGTCCAACATATCACACATATGACATATGGTCAGCGCCAAAATTCTTTCCAAGACACCGAAGTAGTGATAGACCTCGAGCCGTCGGAATTCCTCTTCACTGCCAGTGATATAATATTCCAGCATGGTCCTCATGTCGCAAAGTCTGGATCATTTTTGTTCAGCCGACATGGACAATCTCGGCTGAGAGACTGGAACGCCAATTGAAAAGTAAAAAGGATTGAAAAAAGGAAAAACAAATCGAATGGTGACCATGTAAAGTTGCTGTGCCCTTGTGGCTCAACACTTTTTGTCCAGTGAACCAGAGGCAATCAAATCAGAGTTTTGTGGGCGGAATCCGTATCTGAATCTTCCATTGCATTCTATTGTATTAGATAATTACAAAGTTGAAGAAAGAAACATATCATGCCTTTGGAATGAAGCACTTCCTGCTCACATTGTACCACTGTGTCTTTTTGTCTTTGTCTGTTTATTTTTTTCACGTATATATTGTGTGTGTCATGTCTTAGAGATGTCTCGGGAAGTGTCAGGAGGAGGCAAAGGTTCAACCAGATTGAACAAAGTACAAACAACCGTTCTATACACAGTAGTCACGTATTAACTTCCACTGCATTTTTCACTTCAGAGTCACATCATTGCCTGCAATCCCTTGCATTTGACGGTGCAATGCTGTGCCTTGTCTTCAATTTAACAACCGTAAAAGGAAGAAGAACAGCACTAGCAGGAGCTAAGTTAGATGCGTCTTGATGTTGTAATAAGGCTCTGAATTGAGACCCTTTTCACCTGTATACAAAGGTGATCAAAGCTGCACAGGAACAAGTCTCTAATTAGCAGTTGTAAGAACCTTGGTGGACTTACTTGAACTTACAACCTGAACCGTCACAAACATATGAATGTCTCTCTACTATTAGGCTTCCATAGGCTTCCCCTTTGGAGCCACGCTCGAAAACCCTCCAACGGTATAGCTAGCTAGTGTCCGTAAACAATCTCTGGATGGCTTGAAATCTTTTGGAACCGCCCCGAGTGAAGCACTTCCACGATTCACATTTCGCACAATGCACCTCGAATCTCCTCGACCCAGAAAATACCCAAGACCTGGGGTGATCATAGTGATCATGGTGATTCGGGATCTTGTTTTCTTCTGTCCAGTCGGAGAAACACTCCTCATTATATCAATGATAAAGATCCTGATTTCCACGCAGCCAAGCAAGCGGCTAGGAGACTGGTGGCACATGTGCGGCCAAACTCTACCAACCTTCCAGATCCTTAAAGATCTACCCTCCTGTTGATTAACATGGACCCTGAAAATCTCTGGGTGCTAAATGATCTCATCATCTTCCAAGGGATCCATCCATTCGACGGTCCGTCTGGGTGGTGAGTCTCCGGACCTGATACCTTCCACTCCAAGCAACTGAAGGAAGAGGGAGACCGTGGTGAGGACCAGAACCAAAAGCATGGTGCTCCAGAAGAGCGCGGCCACGCTGCCGCGGATGGCCGTAATCATCACCTGCAGCGACCCGGCCGTGATCGGCAGAAAGCGGAAAGCGCTGCAGGGCAGTGAGGTTCAGTGAGTGACTGGGTGGGCGAAGATATGGAATTTGGATGACAACAGTTGCGGATGATGTCAGTGGATCATGGGTGAGTGTGTTGCAGCCCAAGTTACAGCTATCTGCATGTTCCTTGTTACATGTATGATGTTTGTGTATGTTTAATATCATGGAACATGCCCTCTCCACGTGTACGGTACGATGTTCGTAGCCATACCATGTCGAACATGAGAGCGCATCATCAAGCTACCAAAGACTTGGATACTGTGGAGTCAAAAACATAGGACTCATAGGACACAAGCTGCAGTACTTGTATAGAAAATCCCATCTAATCTTGGGCGCCCTCAACTTTCTTGGGACCCTGTTGATTTCTGCACTCGCCCCTCAGCCAACACCGATTTGGACCAACAAGGGGACCACAAAAACCATACGGAGGTTGTAAAGCCTGATTTCCAGTGTTGCGATTTGAATCCAGCGATGGTAAACATATGTAAACATCAGCTGTTCTCCAAGTGAGAGATGTTTGGCGAAGAAAAAAAACTGGCCATGGCAGAAAAATCACTCATGTACAGTAGATCTTCAGTTCATGGGCGCGATGAAGGTTCCTATCAGAAGCGGTTTGGCTAGATCTCAAAATTGAAACAAACAAACAAAGTAGCTGTCTTAATCCTGGATTGTAAAGATCTCAAACCACACGAATCATGTCCTAGCACCATCTCATCCTTGATACTCTTCAACCCAACTCCGAACTGCTCAGAGCCCAACATACAAAGAGTCGAAGCCCTGGATGGTCCTGCCATACAGCTTGGAGCAGGATTGGGAGAGGATTGTTGTATCCTGTAAACCACCATGCTAATAAAATGACTCAAACATCAAAACACACCCCAGGCACCTGCAAGCTCCTAAACATGCATAGACCAAATTGTTCGCGCGGCTACTTGCTGCGCTGGTGTTTACCAACGGGCTACGACCGCCATGTCCTTACCAATTAGAATACCAGTGCAAGGCTATGAAGCCCAAAACTCATTGGTCTCAGCACCTTTTTTCTTAAACATTGGTGGTTGGCTCAATACACAGGCTGCACCCTACAGAGCGGTTTTGGGTCTGTGTGAATGGTGGACGTTTTGGGCTGGATCCATTCGCCCAAAACGGATCCGTTCGGTTCTGATTTCGCCTTCGATCGCGTGAAGTCTCTATGATTGGATGAAGAGGCCTAGACACAAACATGCAGCTATTCCAAACATGCACTGACCTACACTACTCACCCAACTCTAGTTAACTAGGTACGAATGTTAACTCTAGTGTATGGGTATGCCAAGTTGGCTGTGCAAAAGTTGCTTCAGATTGACCTTTTTCCACTGAACTCCCGAACTACAACTGGCCCCATGGCGATTCACCATGGCCGGCTCCTCACCAGTCGCAGCATACGGAACCTCGGATATGGCAAAATCCGTCCCTCCTGAGGACGCTAAAGCTTCACACACATTGGATACGAGGAGGAGGAGGAGGAGGCAGGTACACCTTCGGAGTAGATGACAAATAGGTCCGCTGATCCAAACCTCGAGCCCCAAAACCTGGTAGATCTGAAAGAGCTTGACCTCCCCATGTTTTGCTGTCCTGTTCAATCCGAGCTTTCTGGTATTAACCCAATAGCCATGAAGGTCCCAAAGTCCGATGTTCGATTGGGATCGGGACTGGGATCCATTGAGCTGGACGTTTCTTTTCTCCATCCGTGGTCTCCGACATGGCCGTTTCGTTCGTCTTGGTCCGGCTGTTGGCCGCACATGGCGGCTGAAGGTGTCTGAAAAACAGGTTTGAAAAGTCTGGGGGGCCATTCCCAGATCCATCTTTGTTTGAAGCCTTGTCAAAAATGGGTGAAGACTCATGAAGATTCTGCAACCTTGGTAAGCCTGAGAATACGCCAATCATGTATGATCATGTATTATCAAACTTTTAGCTTACACAGACACATGCAGGACTTTCTTAGGCAGAATGGAGGACTTTCCCATGTCTCACCATCCTTTGTGAACCGCGTACATTTGACGACGTCAATTGGGAGACCCATATGTCTTAAATGTTAGTGTTAAAAAAAAAAAAAACGATTTGTGGTAATAGCGTGAGGAGTTGGAGTCCGGTAATGTCACAGCCCATATTATTCGGTGTAAAAAGTCTTAGTGGTCATATATCGAAACATTACAAACCAACACATACCTTTTGTCGGCTTTTGGCATGCTTGATTCGCATCAGAAAATGTGATAAACATATTCTCTTCACTCATCTCCCAGTTCTGGGAAACACATTGCAACACAGCTACCAGCCACAAACTCTGTGCTGGAACACTGCTGCCCCCGAAGGTGCGAGAACAACACATGCAGCTCTCATGAAGCTACGGTCACTAATTTAAAGGTGCGATGAGCGCCTAGCAAAGCCTAGGGGCAGCTTCATGAGTCTCAAGAGCCGCAGCAGTAACGGGTCCAAAGGCAGCAAACCTTGCCTTGGAAAAGACACAAGACGGCCAGATCTTCCATGCCGGATTTGAGACACCAGACGATGTCCTTGAAATCTCACGTGGTTCGAACGAGAAATTGGCAAGATGGAACATGTTCATGGAACATGAGCGGTTTAACTTGGATGCAATAGTTTGAGAATGCACATCAATTCTCCGAAGGGTCATAGAATCAAGAGCATTCAAGAGCTATATATATATATAAACACATGTCACAGTTGAGAACTAAGCTGCGAGATGGTGTCGACAAACCATGCCAGGACAATCAGAAAGTCCTTGGCAAAAGCGGCGAAAGCTCCGTCTGAAAAAACAGGCCTGTCAAAAGGTATTCGTGTTCATTCTTTTTCGCTACCAGTTCGTTGCCGATCCAAATTTGAATATCCAACTGTTGCATGCCATGGTGAACGCCGCACTACTTGCACAAAAGAGCACACAGGCCGGTCCAACGGTGGGGTGGGCAACCCCATGAGTCTTTTCAGGAACTCCCTGTCATCAACTCTGGTGAAACGATTGTATAGGGCGGCTCATCCTGGGGAGTCTGCCGGGTCTGTGCTCAGTTCGGATCCATGGGAAGGGAAAGGATCAAGAGCGGCTAAACCAAATGCAGATCCAGGAGGAGGCGGGTGTTCTATTTTTTCGTGTCCTCTTCTTCCAGCCCAGGAGCAAGGATGTTCCAAGGATCATAGACAAATCGAAGGTCCAACGCGATGATCTTCACCAAAATCTCCTGGGTCACGGGTGTGTAGACAATTGAAAGGCAGGCGCCAAATGGACCATATATAAATAGGTCCAAGATCACATGAACATCGAGCTACGACCAGTCAACCTCCAGCTAGGGATAGTTTAGTGGGGAGCAGCGAATTTTCGACCAGGTGTCGGCCGGGAATCCTTCAAATCATCAATTTTTCGCGGGAATCCTTTACGTCGAACCTATATACTTCGGAACTAATGGTCATCTGACAACTGATGGTCACCAACACGAGCGGTACTCCTGCAGTACTCCTTCTATCCAGTTCCGTGAAGGAGGAAACTGAACCAAACCGTCCAAACAAAATAACTAATGTTAACCTCTCATTAGTAAT